AACGTACTTTTCCTTAAACATGATGTACATAGTGCGCAGTTTGTAAACCTTGCATCCGGCTGTAGCAGTCAGTTGATTTCGAAATTATTCGGCAATTTTAAAACTTTTTTTAAACCCAAGTATATCCTCTCTTTAAGTATAAAACTTAAAGAAGGCGTAATTTACTACCAAACGAGTACACGAAATATTGTTTTCGTTTATCTGTTTAAAAAATGTATTTGAATTTATGAAGACAGTCAAAGTCAATGTTAATTACGCATATTATTAAAGTAGTTACTTTTTACAACAATACTTTTTATTAGCGGTCAGAACGAAGCTCATTAAAAAGCGCACATCCTATTATGACTGAAATGCCTTCAGAATAGACTACACGATAATCAGAATTACAACCTGAGTCAATGTTGATTAGCGAAAGAGTATCAATATTTCGCATATGTCGGCATATTGCACGAATTATGGCTCGTATTGTTTCTGTAAAAAAGGAAGTATTGACAATAGGTAGGACGACTAAAATGGTCATTTTTCACAGTAGGCGAAATAAGGTAAGACGTACTGAAACCCAAGATGATTTTTTCCAGATATTGCGTTTGTGTGGCTCAGATTTTAGTAGTTTGAAGACTATGGTCTGGGTAAGGCTTCCATATAAGCAGCACTGTAGCTTGCTTTGTAAAACTAACTTCTTATTTCGCTACAGTTTATTATTAATTTCTGTTAGTTTCAGTTTAATTAGTTTCTCCTATAGTGTTGTTTATTTTTGTTATTTTAGCTTCTGTTTAGTATATGTTTAATTTCACTTGGCAGTTCAGTTAAGTTACTTATGTTATGTTTATAACGAACCCCTTACCTTGGTCCGAATCCCGCAATTTGTTTTACTGTGATTACCTCCTGTGTTTCTTTTAACCATTGCAACTTCAAAAAGGGGCTGCTCATTTAATTCTTAATGATCAGGAGCATATCATGTGTTTTTTATTTCTTCCACGGCAACTCCTACATTTATCTACCGGTAAACTGACACTTCCTGGGCATTATTCAGGTCTTTGAAATCAGTAAGGTTAACGTGAAATCAGGAACTTTACATGGTTACTTTCTACTCTATATAGTTAACCAGGGGAAAAATTATGCAGCTTACGCTTGAAGCCGCCTGCATGACAACGGAATAGGCGAATCCCAGCCCAAGTCCGAGGGAGCCAATATGTGTCAGTAGGAGGTAAATGAATCCCTTTTTAATCGCGAAATAGGTCAACATGTAGATTCCACTAAAAAAAGAAAATTTACCTTATTTGATTCAAAAACAACTTCTGGTTTCTCACAGTTGTAGCATACAAACTCAAAGTATGTAGTTAAAAGAAGCGAATGTGTTAAATGTGAATATAACTTAAAGGCTCAAAGTAGACGTCACAATTGTCGATTGATTGCTTCTTATGGAACATGCAAAGTATGTAAAGGCATAAAGCAACCACCGGACTGCCTAGATATCCTATTGAGTAAACAGAGGAATGCATACGTAAACTGGTATTAAATGTTAAGCTCTTTTGACTCAAATCACTTGGAGAAATTTATTTATTTCAACAAACTAAATAAAATTTTATGATTTGTTTTGTTTCTCTAATTGGCGCAATTTGCTTTACAGGTTCCTACTTTAATAAACAGAATAGGTTCCCTAGTTCACTGCTTACCTTAGTAACCGAACAATTAATATTTTCTTTATTTTATCTAGGACGTATTGTAATTGGTAATATGTTGACACTTCCATATGTAATTGTGACTTTCTAATTATATGTAAATAGCATACACATCAGTGCAGTAGACAATTTGGTTTAAACTTCGAATGTTTGACCTAGAGGTGAATCAGTTTAAAAAAATATAACTGATGCTTGCCTTTAGGAGGCTAAATTTGGTGTTTTAAGGTGCACTCAAAACAGAATAGGTCAACGACTATTTTGTATTACGCTAAAACGTTTGATTCGACATGAATGCGCTAATTGGCAGGTTTACTTTTGCTTGTATACCCAAATATAGGCGCACTCATTGATGAACGAGCTGCAACCGTTCGTCCCCTTCTGCCCTAACAGCTCACTCTCTAGCCCCGACAGAAACTGTAC